AGGTTCAAATTCTGGCCAAGAGATCAGTTATCCTGACTGAGGTTTTACATGGATTTCCTCAGTTCATTCAGATAAATGCTGTGATAGTACCTTAAATTAGGACATAGCCACTTATTTCTATATCCTTTCCAACTGATTGTTCACTAAACACCAGTGACCTACTGACAGTATCATGAAATTAACCACAAATTAATGAATATACAGTCCATATCTGTCTTCATCAAATACTGCCTTGCTCCAATAGTTGCAGATTCACAGTTCTTGCATCCCTAGGAAAGCTGAGAAATAAAACAGTTGAACTGTAGACTTATTTGCTAAACTGCATCACGTCACAATTTTGCCATACCACCTTGGTCTGTCAGTTATGATCTCTAGTTTACTAATCTGTGCTGGTTTATATGAATACATATGTAAAAAAGTAATGTAAATATTTACACTATGAATGCAATACAAGAATACCAGAAAGTCAGAGTAGGGCATTTTGAAATAAAAAGAAATGCAACCTGAAATTTTAATATTTTTAATTTTTCTTGCACATTTGCAACACTGAGTTTGTGGTTGGATATATTTCACAGATGATGGTATCCTACCCATGGTAATCACTTGATTATTTTAACTTCTGCCAGGATGACCATTTAGCCCAAACACTGGTTACTTTGAGAAGAAAAAGCTTCTACTGAGGATGGTTGTCTTCTGATTTGTGCCATGTAGTCTGGTAGAAGTTTACCAACGTTTCAGAGGTCACTGCTGCCTCCGCCATCAGGCTGATGATTAAGTTTTGTTTACATTTACTCATTGCCATAATAATAAAGGCAGCAAGGACCTCTGAAACTTATACCAGACTACACCACTGCAACTCTACTCTACTCTACAGAAAACAGCCATCCTCGGAATCACCGCTGTGAAACTGTCGAATCCTACTGAAAGTAAAATAATCTAATGTGGTGGCACCCATAACAGAATATTTATCATACATTATTTACAAATATTGTTGCTGCCTCCATCATCAGGGGCCCTGATGATGGAGGAAGCATGGACCTCTGAAACGTCGGCAAACTTCCAAACGGCTCAACCAGAAAACAGCCATCTTCAGACTCACCGCCGTCAAAACCTACCAAGATTCTATTGGTCAACAATTCTTATTTATTGAAGCTAATAGGATGTTGTACGGATTCATTGTTCCTGATGTTCAAAATGTGAAGACAATATAAACTACATCATACATACAAAATACAAGGACAAGGAATGATCTCCAATGCACTTACTTAAATTCATCTTGATGTAAGCTCATCGGTACAGTAATGCATAATGAGAGAATCAAAGCTACTACATAGCCTGCGATCTGACTTAATAGAAGAATATTAGTAAGAACCATTCTTTACGAATACGAAATATATGTCGTTCGCTCGAAACTTGTTTTGTATTAAATGAAATACGTTGCAATCCACTCAAGTATAACACTCACTAATTAATTATACATGTAAGTTATAGGATGACATCGGTTTGCTTTTTTCTTTTTCTGTCTATTGACACTACGCCCAAGTCCATACACAGCATATCACCAACTTGACACATTTACAGTTGGTAACACAGGTAGGATCGATTTTCATCTATCGATTCTAACAACTTGCACTCTCGATGCGGTAATGGCAAAACATTCGTTTTGTCTTCATATATATTTAAGTGGAAAATTTTTGCAAAAGGTCAGTGAAGACTATGTGCGCAGTTTGAATAAAGATTTAAGATTGAAACTGTTGTTTTTCTATTTCCATATGTGAAATGTCTTGTAAACTTATCCTCGTTGAATACAACATGAACAGTAAAAAGAAATGACGTCATTTGTTTCTTATTTGCAGGCAAAAGTTGTGGCGAGCAAAGCGGAAGAGTGACGATGGACAATGAGTACAGCTATTTATAAAGCGTTGAATTTTAATTTATTCTGAATGTTCAATACATTCAAAATGCCGTGGTGCTTAGGCCTGCCATGGTCTGAAAGTATAAAGAAACGAGCGTGTAGATATTTATTACAGCGATATTTAGGTCAATTTTTGGAAGAAAAATTGACCTTGGATCAGCTGACAGTAGATCTGTACAATGGTACTGGTACTGTTTCAGAAGTTAAGTTGGATGTACAGGTACGCATAATTACTGTATGTAGTTGCTGCACCTTAATAATGCCTTATATACCAATAGGTTGCTTGGAACATGGAAAATCATCATCATTGATACAGGAAATCGGACCGTAATTCATGATTCCATTTTCATAATGCTACATTGTTATGCCTAAAACGGGGTTGGAAGTGCCTTTGTTTATGAAAACTAAAGCAATACTATAATCATTTAAGGCAGTGGAAAACTGGCTTGGCTATAAATAACATGACCACATGTATTGTATTTATAGGCCCTCAATGAGTTGGGTGAGCAGCAGAATCTACCAATTGAGTTTGTGGATGGATACATTTCACACATGTTGGTATCCATCCCATGGTCATCACTTCTTAGCGATTCAAGTTTTGTTGAGGTGAAAGGCCTAGTGTTGACCATACAACCCAAACAGAGGGCTGACTGTGGTATGTTTATTGTGTTTTTTCATGAAAGCTTATAAAATATTTATTTGCTGCTACAGATAATTGCTGTTTCCCAATTTTTAATGACTGCTTGACATTAAATGATTCATACTGGTAGAAAGATCTATCTATCACTCTCTCTTTTTTTTTTAAACTAAAAAGCTAACTATACATTTTGTATGGGAACTATCACATGGAAGACATTTCAGAGTTACACATACAAAAGATTTATGTAATATTAAGTAATGAACTGTATTTCACCCAGTAAAGCAGTGGTAAATATATCAACCATGTCCTTTAACCTTCATTAAGTCCGAATTTTGGCTACAGAGTGTATTTATGGGTTCTGTATAATTATCAGATTATTTTCCTAAACATCATTTACCAGTTAATGTTTGTAATGTAGATGTTCATCTTTTGTTTTAGGTAAGAATTTAATTTTTAAACAGTATTAGCTGAGCTTTGTCTTATTAATAAAAGCTGGTCTGAATTATGTTACTTGTTTATTAAATTTGTGCACATACTGGTAACTTAACCTGACTCCAGTATGTATGTATGGTAACTACTAGAGAGAGATGTTGCATATTCAAAGGAAAAGCACATTTTTTTCTTTGTGATTGAGTTACTGCTCTACATTGTCCAAGAATTTAATTTTAAATGGTGGTTTATCTGCAGCACTATTTTACAATGCAAGGGTGATTGATCCATGTCAAGTCAGACAGTGCCATCAACCATATCATCACAAACGTTTGTGGTTGTTATTTTACAAGTGGATATCCCCAAATTTCAGGTTTTTATAACAGGCCAATTTCATATAAATATATATGTACTTTTAATCCACTTGTCACTCCTTACTTGCTGCGAAGCAGTATGTTACCTAGCTGGATCCCTTGATAGTTACCTGGTCTCATGAAATGCCCGGCCATGTTACAAGATCATATATAGGCCATATTCTAGGGAAGAAAATATCCTTGAATGTGAATCCCCCATCAGAAATTTTTCAGAAGAAGATTTTTTTAGAAATGTAGATTGAAGATTTTTTAGAAATTTATATTGAAGATTTAAATTGCTGTATCACTATGTTAGGGTGTATTTTATTATTATCCCATCTCTTCACCACTTTATAGGGTATGTACTTCTATGTACCCGAGACAGACCTCGTCCCTAAGGTACATAGGGCAGCAGCTATTTCTGGGATACATATTGTTTTTAGTAAGTGCCACATGTATTATAAAATAAGCCACTCTTGTTTTTCTTGATTAATTTTCTTGTGAGTCTTGGGCTTGTTGGCTGTGCGTGTCCATGGTTGGCCTGCATTGAGTTGCCTCGTTGCCGTAACCAACCTCAGCACTTGGAGTACCTAGGCGACCTGTACTCCAGATCTTTGTCTTTCCATTCTTCGGTAATAGCTGCACGGTTGTCCACACTTTGAACTAAGGGATTATTTATCGAGGTTTACTCCTCTAGATCCGCCGTGTTCTGTTATATAACAGGGTCACCTCTCGTCGGATGTGGCTCTTCACCACGCACGGACGGTCTTGAGCAAGGAGAGACTCTTGGATGCCTAGCATCTGTATTGCGCTTCACTTACTCCTGGGTGGGTGAGGGCCAGTGTCCAGCATAGTCAGACTATGATGGTGAAAGGTACTACCTCTCCCCATTGCCTTAACCCCTTATTATTATTATAAAGACTTGTTCAAATGTCATAACTCTCTAACTAAGATGGAGACAGCGTGTTTCTACATAACGTTGACATCTGCTGATGAGTCTATACGCGGCCAAAACCCAGAAGAATGTCATTATCCTCACCACGATGAAAGCCTCAAATCTCACATAGGCAATAAGTATGTTAAACACATCCTGCAAACAGTAGATATTTAAATATTATTAACATAAATGAATGAATATGAAAATACTATTTTAGGTGCATCCATGTTTGAATCCATGTGGAATAGTATGACAAGCAGCATGCAGCTTGCAGAGGAATGTTTAAAGCAAGGTTCGTCTGATGGAAGGGATTCAGAGCAGTGCCAGCCTTTGGAAGGACTTGAACTCTTCGCACAGGCCATTGATTCAAGTACGTTTTATGTCCATTATGTCACTAAAAGAACACATTGTAAATGGAATATCATTGACTTGTAAAATATACACAGCATTGTGTTGTTTTCATATTAGTCACCCACCTAATTTTAATTTCTAATTGCTTGCAGCCAAGGATAATTGAGTGAGTCTACCTGGTACTGCTTCATTTTTGCATTCTGCAGCAGTAATGGAATTCATGATGTATTATCTGAAATTTTGAACAAAATTTTATATGAACAAACAAGTCGTTAGTTCAAAAGTACAATCTGTTAACTAATGCTGTGGAGTAGAGTCCTTGAGCTAGGCTGAAAGTATGCTCATCCAGCCTTTAATAGATCCCAAAGGTTTGTTACTGTACTTATAAGACTCCATTCAACCACCATTCCTGGTCTTCTGAGTCTTTAGATGACATTTTGTAACTTGATTTTTGTTTATTGAGAGAAGTTCTTAGCCCCCTTCACAAACCCTCCCCCTGATGGAGTAACACCCCTTTTAGGATGTCTCTGCTTATTCAATATATACAAAGCTACCTTCATGTCTGGAGACCTTCTTCTTCTTCTATGGCTCTCCGGTCCGTATTTGGTCCATGGCCTCCTCAATTCTCCTCTTCCATTCGGTCCTCTGTTAGGTCCATCTATCCGAGGCTTTGATCGAGGTTTCGAAACATCTTACTTCTTACGGTGCAAGGTTGTTAGCCTGGAGGACCAGGGAACCTGTCTTAGTCTGACCTCTCCCCCTCGACCAATCTGGCTAGGGAGGCCCTACCAGTAGCTATGCTACCGCCAGCATAGCTCTTGGGATCACTGAGGTACTCAAGCCCCACCACCATGGCAAGGTGCAGGTACCATTAAGTGGGGCATGTCTGGAGACCAGTTCATTAAATAAAAAATAATAATTTCTATTAAATACTTTTGCTATATGAACCATGACTTGCAATGAATTTTCATGGAAGGCAAGATGTAAGTTCACTTTTGGTAGGTTCTTTGTGTGTGAACTGAATTTGTGTGACTGGGAGTAGGGTCCAGAGTTGTGGACTTTTATGAGTCCAGAGATGAATTTTAGGCTTTGTGAATGCAAGAAATTATTTTCCTAACCAGCTCAGTAGGTATGAACCAAGGAGGACCTTGCACCATGCAGTTAATTGTCATTCAAAGAGAAGCCATATGATACATTGCAAATTAAGAGTATGTGTATTGTAATCTGGGTATCATTTTTTCATTTTCAGGTATTTGAATATAAAATCATTTACAGACGTGTATAATGTATTCTCTTTGGTATTCTGCTTTTGTATTTGTTTTACACCTTCACACAGTTTTAATGATTTACTAGGAATTTTTTTAATTAGTTGTAGAATGTGATGAATATTTCTACTTTTCTTTTAGTCTTGAGCCGTGTAAAAGTCAAGTTTGCAGATACAGTCATACGTTTGGAACATGTGCCGAAAGACAGCAACTCGGGAGTTGCTGTTGAGTTCAGAATAAAGAAGTAAGTACTGTCAGTTTCAGAACTTCATGCTTAGGTTTGCCTTGTTCATTTCTGGTGTTTTATTTTGATGTGAATTATTTATGAGTAAAAGCTTATTACAGAATGTGTCTTTGGCTCTTGCATTGCGGAGAAAGATAAGACAAGTAAAAACCAAACATGAAACACAATGTTGTCATCTAATTTTCTCCCATAAAAAGTATTGTATAGCATTGAAAGATGTGGTAAATTTATCCTCTTGAATGTCAGTTATTATTAACATACAACATGTAAAGAATGTCTCATGATTTTTGTTGAATTTGTAATGGGAATAGAGGGGTTAAACCCTAGAACTAGGGGCAGCCAATCATAGTTTGGCTTTGAGAACCTTTAGAAGCTCAAATCCTACTATGAGGTTAATGGATGGTTTAGTAGTTTATTACTGCAACACTCAGTCAGGTGTCACCATCTGAATTGCATGTAAGAAGTGATACACAGTTTGTAGAGGTTATTAGACTTCTAAATCCACTTTACCATTTAGTTTTGTACTTTAGTGTTTGTTTCATGATTTTTTTTAATTCTGCGTACATCATTAGCATCATAGCAATTAAATTCAATTCAATTTCCTAGCCACTTTGGATGTGTATAAATGCTTTCCTTTTCTCAAAAGTAAATTAAAGAGACTTTATAGCTTTATAGAGGCATTTGGTGGTATTAATAGTTTGCTGTTTGTTTGTAATAGCATGGATTACTTTGATGAGGCAGGGACAGACCCACCAAATTCAACACCTGGCGAAGCATACTTACAGCAAGGAAACAAAACGTATCAGGTGGCAGCTTTTACTGCCAGGAAGTTCTGTTTGGAGGGTATCACAATGTATACAGACGAGTTTCCATCCCGTGCTCGTACATTCTCCAGATCAGTCACGTCTCTGTCCAACAGCTCTACCCCTGATTCCAAGGTCAGAATAATGTATTGTTATTTAATTAGATATAAGTGTGTATTTATGCTTATGGTGTCAAGTGTTTTAAGCCACTAGGAGGACATATGTGACGTAGGTTGGTTCTTACGCCCTTTATTGTCGACCCTTGCTTTTTGGAGTTTGCTGCCTTGAATATGATCCAACAAACACTTTTACATGGGGATACACACACTTTTCACACGCTCAACACATCGCTGTCTTGCTGCTGTGGTGCCCTGCAGCTTACACACAACTCTCTGTTTCACAAATCAGCCCCACGCCCAGGAATGCGACTTTGTTTATAATCCCCCTCCCAAGATGTTGAAAGATCCAGACCAGGCAGCCTGGAAGTCAAGCAGCTCCTCCCCTCCAGCGCGAGACCCCGGCACCCACGGCGACACGTCACAATATTTTACACTGAACTATAAGTATGAAACCTCAGTTTCTTGCAGTAGTATTTGATGAATGTACATAGGAATACAAAAGTAAAGAGAAAATTTCCTCTGTGTCTTAAACATAAGGGACATGGTGATAAAATCCGTGCATTTTGTAGCTGTGCATGAGATGGAAACAACTGTTTGGCTTCACTTTCTTCTCCCAGTAACTACTGGGTTGGAGGCTTGATGGGTCCAGGATCTTGTCTTGACACGGTACAAAAGAAAAAGCTTCCCCCCCCCCC